CATCCACTGTAGCCATTTGCAATTGATTTACTGTACAGTTGAACCTCTTCAAGGGAAATTTGAAAAGAATACATTTTGACTTTGACAGTTTTCTTTTTATCATAGAGAAATCGAATTCATTTGGGTTGGTTAAGAAATGGATATTATTCTCTGGCGATAATATTCAAAAATTTAATTGTCCGTAGATTTTTAAATGTATGAATAAGCCGTAATTTTTGTGGAGCGCAGAAAGAAAATAATTTGTTTTCTTTTTCTGGACGTCTATCCCAAAATTTAGCCCCAGTTTAATGACAGAAAAACCTTCTAAATTTTACTACGGGGGGTTTGACTGGAACATTTGCAGGTTTGGCAACTTTAAATTAAATTGGACTTGAGGTACTTTACCAGAAATTAACTGGAAATTAGAATTAAGAGGTTTCAGACGTATGAAGACTCAATTTTAGTAAGAACAATCACTTCCCGCAATATGAAAAATGTCGAGTATCACTCAAATCACACGAGAATTTGCCAACATAACGCGGCAAAAATCATCCTAAACGAAGGCTTTTTCAAAAATAGTGGCACAACGAATCTAATGATGTTTGAAAAAAAAAAACTTCTACGAAACGAGCAACAACAACAAAACTGATGGCCTTCAAATTCACCGGTGAATTTTATTGATGATCATTATCTGATTCCACAATACCTCATCCGGAAATCTCCAAAAATAAATCTCTCTCTTCAGTCAGCCCCAATGCCAAATAACGTGCAAGTTCGCGACCCATTCATCCTGGAAAAAGTCCCGCCGTGGGTTGCATTACGCAAGGGTCAGAACCCGGGAACGGAAGAACCCAGTGTCATCGACAAAACACAACAGAACCCCTCCCCTGGGGGGGTTTGGGATCAACAGCAGACATGACGGCATAAGAATGAGGGACAGGAAGGATGGTTACGACTTTACCCCACGAAGAAATATTTTAGTTTGAAATTGCCAACAAAATATGGCTGAATATTAGTTATTTCTTATTTAAACCCACCTTTGATATATACAAGAATGATGATTCTTCATTCATCGCTTCGTTCCACATCAGAAGATCAACTTGATATGTGCTCCGCGGAGCACCGAGAACATCACAAGGGCTCCGTGGAAGCTCAGGAAAAATAGTTGATGGAAACTTGTATTCAACTGAACATGAAACCAAAAATGAGGTTCATAATCAACTCAAACACACCTGTGTGTCAGTAATTCAATAAATGAAGGCATTTTATAAAATCCCCTCTTGTTTTTAGCCTGAATCATACGAATTATTTTTGAAAGACCTTAAATACCGTGCTCCCACAGTATCAAAATAATCCTTTTACCTAAATTTGGCTGCAATTGCATTAATGCAGTACAGTGAGACCCTGAGATGCAGACATAATTGGTGCATCAGAAGTGTCCCTAAGTAAAAATGTCCCTAAGTCAAGTCTCATTTTCCCTTAGACATTATATAATTTTTAATTGGTATTTTATGTACAAAATACTCACCATAATGCCATGAAAATAAAAATTGTCTCCCAATTTAAACTGATTCAATCAGTTTATTTCAACACAATATGGACATTCGGGAATTGAATACTGATACATCCATAAAATACATAGTAATGTTGGCATTCTCTGTAAAAATAACATTCAAGTGAAAAAGAGAGAAGGAAGTCCCTCTATGCTGTAGGTAATTCTTTTTAATTAGCTAAATGGATGTTTAATTGATGATAGAAATGCCCAAGAACTTTTCTTACATCAATTTTAGGGCTGTAAATATCTGTTTCTTGTAATTTGGACTGAAATGTATTTGCAATTCTTTTCACAAAATGTCCCTATGTTGATTCAGTGTCCTCATGTTGGGCCTTTTTTATTAATTTTTATGGGAAAACAAGTGTCCCTATGTTGAATTGCCTGTAGGTCAAGGTGTCCGCATGTGGGGGCCTCACTGTGTTTATTTTTAGAAGCGCTACTCAAATAAGGTCATCCAACAAATTTAAAAACGGCAACCTTGGATAAAAGTTTCTTGTCTAACGAAAATAAAAGCTCAACAAAAATTCGTTCAACATTTCATGAAACTTGAGCACACCTTCCAATTCATACCTTAACCAGACGATTCATTGAAAAACACTCTAATGTATAGTACATACTAAGCAACAATCGCAACATTCAAACTCATCAGAAAAATTAGATTGCATATTTTCTCTATTCAAATTNTGGATTTCGATTTGTTTATTTTCTTATAGGCTGTTTGTTGGGCAGAAACACCGGAACCACTGCAATGGTAAACGTAGTTTTACTGTAGTGAATCATCAATACGTCAACCACACATCATTTCAATCACATGACAGATCCAGTTGCAACCCGCACGCGACGGGAGCGAGAGTTACACTGACTTGGCGGCTGGTTGGATTGCTGGATTTCGGGCGTGAGCGACGGGGTCTGTTAGCTGCCGGTGTAGGAGTCACACTTGTATCCCCGGTACATTCAGACGGGTTCTTTTTCCGGCATTCCGCACGAACCATGAATGGTGGTGAAAATGATTTTCACGATCTCAATTTTGTCATCCGAAACAGAGTGAGAGGAGGGGAACTTGCAAAAAAAAAAAGTAGTTCCATTTCCCATTGTGAGCCACATGATGAAGATTAGTATTTTGGACTAGACTGAAATAACTCATCATGGAACATACATTCTTTGAAATCGTCTTTCAGATATCCCAGTGCAAAATTTCAGCAAAATATATGCTTTTCTTGGCTATTATAAATAATGCTGGTACCAAACTTGATGCTTTTCTGTACAGTTCCTGCAATAATTTATAAACACTGATTCAGCTATCAAACATTGGTTGGAGAAAATTCTCAAAATATAGTTTGATAAAAATGTTCTGCATTTTTACGGACCAAATGACAATCAGTATGCTGGTGAAACTGTTTTCATTGAGATTGAGCAAATTGTGAAAATATACTTTTCATACTGTAAATAATCGCAATAGTTCACTTTATCTCACTGTATACTCGTCATACATTTTCCATGTATCATCCACTCAATGAAATCATTCATTATGAAGAACGTGGCAACTTCTCCTGATGAAACTTTTTCTTGAAATCACTCATCAAATTTATGAATTTCATCCACTCTATGTTAGCTATAGCACACAAAAATCGATTCAAAAACCATTCTATCAAATGAACATGCGTGGTGAGATTGCAGCAGAATATACAGGGTAGGCCAAAAGAAGTAAACAATTTTTTGAACTACAATATCTTGAAGAAAATCAAGCTACAGCAGCAAAAAAAAAATACAGCTGAAAAGACTGAAAGCTTGTTCAAATTTCCTTTTAATGTATAGGATATATATATGTGTCTTGAACATGTTTATTCTTTTAACCGATCAATCATACCATTTTGTACTGTAATTTGCTTTTGACATTAAATTAAAACAAAATTGAGTAACATTATCGTTTTTTCTTCCAATATTAATGCAGGATGCACGTTTCTACATGTTTTCGCCAAATGCACGCTCTTATTCTGACATTTGTGAATTGAAATACGATTGGTGTTCATTCCTGTGCATGGTTTGTGATAATATGTTTGTGTTCCTTTGCAATCAGCGGTCTATGTGCTGGCGAACGATGCCTCATATCAAACACGTATACGCGTTTCCCTCTATAATGCTGTATTCGCATCCGGCGACTATTCTGAATGAGGAAATCGACAATACAACCATCTTTAAGCATCACTAAATTTGGGTGTCATGTGCTGCAAGCGGAACGCTTCTACCGCGCACAAAAATCGTGTGCTTTTAACATTGCTGCCTCATTAATTTCGGAAGTTGTTTTTATTTAATGTCATTCTATACCATACGTATATTTCGGCAATCCCAAAATCAGTACTGTGCCAGATATTTTCAATGAAATGTAGTTATTGTCTTTGGATGACCCAGCAGCATCATCATCGAGCCGTACACACAGTGCTTGCCTCGTCGCAGTCGTTGGTGGTAAAAGAAGCGGTAAACTCGCTGTTGACAGCGACATCTGCTTTAGAGATTCGTAATCGAAATGCCGGATGTTCGCAAGCTAACCTAGGGGACCGTTCATTCTACATCCGATTCGATTCACCGTGAGGTACTGTAGTTACAATTATAACGCCAAGTACAACTTTCTAGCTTATATATAATTTTGTTTACAACTTTTCGCCCTACCAAGAATGAAAATGCTCATGCAGGCCTAATAAGGAACACATCGAACTGATGTTGGGTATAATTTTCCCACGATTTCGTCAAAATGTGGTGGTTCTCACATGTATATTGCATTAAAACATATTCTTTTTGGAACTCTGATGAGCTACATCGAATCGTTCGTCTTCAACCCATTATGATGGTGAGTCAGTTTAGTACATTTGAACTTTCAATCGGTGCATATATGAATGTCAAATTCTCCCAATAATGTTAAAATGCCCGCATATTGCCTGCTGGTCCCCTTAATTAACCAACCAATTCTCTGTTTGGGGCATGAAAAACTTTAATAGCGTTTATAGAACAAACGCGAAGGAAAACTTCAGTGCAAAGGTTTTCCTTAAACTTCATCAGAGAGAAAATTCACCGTTTCTTTTTCAGGGTGTAAAATCCTCGGAGTCGGTGAATTTTCCCTTTCGAATTGCTGAATTTGTAGAGCAAAAAATCCGCAGCTCTAAAAATCCGTGGTGTCGCAATGAAAAATAATCCAATAGGAATATTGAGACCAAGTTTCGCCACACTTGAACATTTTAATTAACACAAGAATTGAAAAGAAACGAATTCAAAAGGTGTCTCATTGAGACTGCGTTTCAGGAAGGAACACCTTCAGCACCAGCAATGAAACAAGTAGCCCCTCATCATCCCCATGAGTCTTGAAAATTCAACTTTCAAAATTTCCCAAGCATAATCTCCGCATTGTGCGATGATGTTACGAGAAGTTCATAATTATTCGAAGCCACCTCATCCTTGAGACGTGTTAGCTCCCAAGCCGAGATATTCGTCCACGACCCCAAGTATATTTCGTTCAGAAGTGGGCATGAATCAATGAACAGTCGAGCTGTGCAAAGTCCTAAACGAATTGATTCCGGCAACGAATCGAAATTCAAAACCCTCAACCGAACCATGGGATTCACGCTCCTCAGGAATTCGTTCCAGTAGGCGTCCGTCATGAAGCTCAGCCCTCCACTCAAATGCAGCTCTTCTAACTTGACGGCGCTCCTCAATAAGTACGAGACTTCTCCTTCAGGAATCTCCATATTGCTAAACCGGTTCACAAGCAACAGGAACCTCAGACTCCTGCAGCCCACCAATAAATTATACAGTATTATCAACTACACCTCAAAGCAGTCGAAGCCCATTAATAACCCTTCAGCAGCAATGCATAGATTTTTTTCTGGTAACACTTGCTCAGCAGCAGTTACTTTGACATGTAAACGATACACTAGCAAATATGGCCTAAGTCGGGAAATACAGTACTGCATGTATTCCTGTACTTATTTCTATCTGTGCAAAAAAAGTTTTGGGCGAGCCAAAGATATACCGTAGTTCTCCCTAGACTGGTTTTCTTTCAGCCTTCAGCAATATGATGAAGGCTGAACATGGGGGGGGGGGGGGGGATGGGGTGGCGGAATTTTTAAAT